TGGAAAATAATAGAGAAAGCAGAATAGTAAATAAGGAGAAAGAAGTATGTATTGTTGATAAAAAAGTCTACTGAAGAACATATCGGAAATAGATTTAGGAGAACACTTATTTTAAATTTAACAACTCTTTCTATAAACAGATTTTTGACAGTCCCATGGGCCCCTGTCACCAATCATAGCCGACATCGTTATGCAGGACCTAGAGGAGGATGCTATTGCCAGGATTCCGATAGATCTTCCATTTTACGTTAGATATGTCGATGACATTTTGCTAACCTCACCTTCAGAATTTTTTGACATCTTAAAGATTTTTAATGCATACCATCAAAGATTGCAATTTACCATGGAGATCGGGAATGATGGCGGTATCAGCTTTCTTGATACTCGTGTGATTGTTAGTGACAAAGGACTAATTTTTTATGTACAAAAAATCCACAAATTCGGGTAGATATTTGAACTTTTATTCCCATCACCCTATTATCCACAAAAGTGATTTTCGAAATGATCGACAGAACTCTTTTACTTTCCCATCCTCAGTTTCATGAGAAAAATCTTATGGAATTTATTATCACTCTACTTAACAACTCCTATTCATTGAATTTTATTTTTACGACTATTAATAATAGAATTAAATATTTCACAAAATTGAATTCTGGAGTTGCATATGATGAGGTTACTGACACTTTTGAAACTACGGTTTCCCGCACGCCGTTCTTTCTTATTCCATATATCAGGGACATATCCGAAAATTTCATAACAATTACTAGAAAATACAACCTGAAATTAGGTTATCGATTAGGTCAACGAATCCCTTGAATAGATTCATTAGAACTAGCAAAGATCTATTAGATCCAATGATACGGAAATGGTTTATAGGATCAATTGCAAGGATTGCGAGGCTACCTATGTCGGACAAACCGAACGACAATTCAAAACTAGAATAAACGAACATATTCGTGACATTAAAAAAGCTACTGGCTCCCCATTTGTGGTTTCGATTCACAGAATGAATTTTAAACATGAGTTTAATTGGAATAATATTAAGATTCTAGACAAAGAACCGTCATGTTCCCATCAACCCCACAAAAGGATTGTCTCCGAAGTGATTCACATTAAAAAACAGCCTCAGGGGATTACTAGGGGGTATTTGCATTGTTTTATCTATTTCACAACGTTGAGACTTATTTAAAATCAATTCCATCTTATACAATTTATCTTCTTAAATATGTTAAGTTGCATTGTGGTCAATACTTTTTCTTCATACCTGGGAGAAGCGGATCTCTCACTTAATGACATTTCCATGCTCATTGGCATTACACATTGGGAATTGTTCACATCGTCTAAACATGGAATATATGTCAAGAATTAAAAAAGAGCGAGATTAGTGGCAATTAGAAGTGAGGCAATTACACATATCTCAGATCACAACAATACGCAAAATGAGAGCATCCGCAGGTATGACAAGATTACATTGGACACTACATTTGCGCGCATCAGCTGGTTGATGCTTACGATCATGCGTTGCTTTTTAGTTTTAATTTCTTAACCATTTGTACTTCTCTGCACATCTATTATTTCGTTAATTGTCTTTATGTCTTATCATCGCATTATATTACCGCACTGAAGAAGACCTAATATAAAATCGAAACGATGTTTGTGTTTTTAGTTTTTATTTTTTATTTTCTTTAATTTTAATTTTTATTTTTAACTTGAATTTTTGTTTTCATTTGTCATGTACTGAATTTTTGTTTTATCATCGCCGAATCTATTCTTGTGTTTGTTTACTTTTAATTATATTTCTTTATCTTTGTATCTGATTTTATCGTCAACGAATTATATACGTTTTACGTATATATCTTTTCTGCTTTTATACTCCTGACTGCTCAGTATTTTAAGTTAAAAAAAAGAAGTTAAAGAAAAATTTACTTTTGAGGAAAGTAGTGCCGGCAACTTCAGAATCACGTTAAGAATAAGCGATAAAAAGATAAGAACCATGAAAGATAGGAATTACTTTAGTATAATCAAAAGTTTAACTAATCATAAATTGAAGTAAACCAATCAAAGTAATGATGATGGGTTTTAGAACAGCGACAGTACAATTTTTATATGCTTCAGATGCCAATAGTATCGAGGTGATCAATAGGGACACAGAAGAGGGAGGATTTAGTGCCACAATAGAAGAAAGAGACACGTGTTTCAGAAGGGTCTGATGTCTATGTATACGGATACAGTTGTTGAATTCTTTTAAGCCTTCACTCACCCAGAAGAGGTTATGCGGTTAGAGCCTCACGAGAAAGAAATGGGACAAAGAAAACACGGTACTGGTCGAGGAACCTATGGATAACATTATAGTAACATTTAGAGGTAATGAAAAGAGACAACGTATTACATTTTATGACAATTTGATGAGCCTCTCGGTAAAACCATACGTTATACCGGTCATGCAGTGCTACAAGTGGTTCCGGTCCGGTCATCGAAAAAAGGCATGTCGCAGCGAGGAAAGATGCATAGTATGCAATGAAAAGACTCATGGAAGATGTGATAGAGAAGAAAAGTGTAGGAACTGTCTGAAGAACCATAGATCTAACAAGAAATGTGAGAAGTATAAAAAAAACCAATAAATCAATTCAATCATGGCGTATAGAAATTGCACGTACATCGAGTGAGAACATTAGAGGGGACAGAAGATATCACAAATGTTGAATATGATAGATATGTACAGCCAAATAGATGGCCTAAGGTAAGCAAGGAAAGCATTAAGTATTAGGATAAACATAAGAAGGGAGATAATAAGGGACGAACCTATACACAAGTTATACAGAGCAATAGGAAGGAAAACACTAATAGAAATGGAATTGCCAACACAGCACAGAAGAAGAGGAGAGACAATTGGATAGGGGAAGTCGGAATATTTCTCACCAAACAACTCAGGATTTCTACAGAACGAAGAGAGGGCTAAAAAAACAAAGACCTTTGGAAAAGAAAAGAGAGGACTATTATAAGCAGTTTAATACAAGGGAAAGGTGACAAAGGATAAAAGAGGCATAGTTCTAAGAGAAAATTCTAGGAAGAAACAAGAAGCAGTGTCAATAGGGCAAATTCTAATTGACAAAAAGGAAAAAAGGAAAAATTAGAATTAGCTAGAATAACAGCGGCTGATAGAGATTGGAAGCTCAAGAAATTAACTAATCAATGAGGTAGAGGGAGATAGTGAATTTGAGATCTCTCTCTTCCCGAAATAGTACAAAGGGAACAAGAGAAAAAAAAAAGATATACAAAAAGAAAGAAGAATTTAGGAAGAGGAAGAGAGATACAAGAGAAGGAGAATTGATAGGACAAGAAAGAACTATTGGATAGAAATGAGCCAAGATAATAGAGAAGAAGTAGACTCAGAGGAATAGTGAAAATAATCTAATTATAGACATTTAGTTCGGTACAGAATATTAAAGTATAGGAATTAAGATTAGATAGGTTAAGAAACTAATCTAAAAACCAAAGCCTTATTAGCCATATAAAAAGGAGAGAAAAGCTATAGAGTTTATTTAAAACTATTTGAGTTTATTTGAACGCGAATTTTATTGTGACTTTGTTTTAAGGTGATCAATAAGTTTGTTTTAAGGTGATCAATAAGTTTGTTTGTCTTTTATTTTATTAGTACGAATATAATAAGAAGAGATCGTTAGCTTAATTTAAATTTATTTCGTTTGAGTAACTACTATTGAGTTTGTTTTTGTAGTGTTATGTTCGGGGGACTTCACGAATTCTTCTCTTTCGGAAAAAGATAACGGCTGCTAATCAGAAAATGAAGCGCTTCGAACGATCTAGAGAAACCCTAAATAAATACACAAAAATTCCTCTCGAGATATGTCTCACTATCAAAAAAATAATTCTTGCGATAGACAGCTTTGTCGGCACCAAATTTATAACATACCAATAAAAATAAAAAATATTAACAAAAGCAAATTCCTAACGGATAAGAAACGCGTCGGATCATTCGAGGATGACACTCCCCAAATTGGTGGGGAAACTAAGGGAAACGCCAATCAAGAAGAAATGATTAGCGTTGACGAGCACACCAATGAATGATTGAGGGTGTGGAATGGCGGGAAAATTTTCACTAACTAATTCCATTATTCGCTAGGAAATTTGGAAGTATAAAAACAACCACAATTCATAGAACACTGCTCCCCTCCTTCCTCTATACTCACAATTTTTCTAAACTATCATTCGACAAGTCAACGCGGAAATCCATCACGCCCTCAGATATTCCCACCCCTTCGGAACCCTTTAAAAACCGACTTGGAGCAGATCGCTCTCTTCTCTCTTCACATCGCCCCACGTCACTTTGACGGACGGATCAGGACCATCCGAGGTTGTCGCCATTTTTTTCTTTCTCTCAGTTAGAATCTGTGCGCGATACCTTTATTCACGTATGATACGATCCACGATCCAGCGTAGGCACCACACTTCTCGCCCATCACCAGCGCCCGCCACGACAAAAGTAAGTCCATTTTTATTACCCCTTTCCTGCGGTAGATTGGCTGTTTGGTTCGCGATTTTGATATAATTGCTTTCTTAAAATTCTTCAACATTCCAAATGGGCAAACCGCCGATTAACTCGGTGAAGCTGCCTTCCCTGATTTCTCCACATACTGACTTGGCAAGCCGCCGATTGACTCGGTGAAGCTGCCTTATCATGATTCCTCAATTCTTCTACCACTCTCACCTCACTCTCTCTCTCTCTCATCTAACTCTTGTATTTATATAGTGAACCAAACGAACGCCATCCTGAACGAACGAAACGGGCATTGCGACACCGTCGGGAGAAGCTCAACAAACGAATTCGTCGCGAAACCGATGAGGAACTCGCGGAGCGCTTAATCGAAATAGAGCCGAGACTCTCTGACATCTCTTTACGCCACCACTCTCCGCTCCGCGGCAGACTTTGAGAAAGTGCACTCCAGAGCACTTCGACGTGAAAAAATTCTACGACCTCGTCCGTCAATTTCCCCGCTCTCCCACCCATTCACCTCCTGGAACCTTTTACATTAAAAGAAAGTTCAAACCCGACAGTCAGTTTTGGGATCAAATCTCAAAACACCAAGTTCACGATATTATCGCTATGTATATTTCCCATGACCCTCTTTCCTACTTTGTTCCAGTGAAGGGTTTCCGTAGCGCTCACCCTAATCCTCCGCCATATCTGCAACCTGATCCCATCGATATGCTCGCAATTACCAATGTTTTGCCCCAATTAGAACAATTGAGAATATAGATATCAGATTTTTTTTTATTTATTATTATTTGAAGTTCTATGTATAAAATTTTTGTAACCAGTACTTCCATATTCAAATGTACACTATAATATTTGCACCACTTCGTAGAATCTTAGAATTAACATATTGTATTTCTTTTTTTTTATTATTAAATCATAGTTAACTCGAATTCCGTCTCGATTTATTTAACAAAAAAACTTGACCCCGAACCGTTCACGGCTTCCTGAAGATCGCACGAGGTCCATCCCTGGTTAAAGAGATTCGGTTCTCTGACCTAAAACGGACCACCGATAACGCTGGCGCAGGTAAGGGTTATAACGGTCAGCTGACACTGACCCGATTCCTGTCCCCTTAACGCACGTTCGACTCGCGGATCGACCTCATGATGTCGATCTGTGAGAGCAACAAAGGTTCCGTGCGTCCACCCGAGTTCTCCTCCTCCTGACGGAAGGTATTACCTTTCCTCAAAAACCTCGGACGTAACAGTAGTATAATAGAAAAAGGAAAGACTGACAATATGGTACAAAACATTGCTACTTTGGTTAATATATCTATTGCTCCATTGTACCTAACAATATATTCTTGACAATATATAAGATTCCAAGTACAATTTTATTTTATTAGAACACTAATATCCATAACTTTACTAGACACATTCAATTTAAGCATGGTAGTTTGGAATTATAGAGATCTTTACACAAAGAAGAATGAGCTACAGCATAAAATACGGGATATTGATATAGTAGTATTGACTGAAATCCATGAGAAGTGCTAAAGTTTATTTTGCAGGGTACCGTACACACATGATAAACGATAGAGGAAATAGCGGAGGGATCGCAATAATAGTAAACAAGAATATTAATTTTGATATTATCAAAAAAGATATAGGAATACATCATCAAGTCTTTGATGTTATAGGCATAACGATCCAAAATGTCAATAGCACATTTAATTTCATAATAATATACAGGAGACCGGGCTACATAAACTCGAGAACGCAATGGAAACAAGTATTAGGTACGAAATATAATAGCTTTTCGAACTTGTTTGTAGATGACTTCAATGCACATAACATGAACTAGAATTGCTATCATACTGACTTTAATGGCGAGAGGATGAAAGAAATAATGGACAAGGAGAGCCTCATTTGTTATAATTATGATACTAGCTCGAGAATAGGGCAACGAGATAGTAATATAGACTTAGTAGTAGGATCGATGGATTTTATTGACGAAATACATTGTAAATAGGAAACGGATTCGTAGGGATCGGACCATTATTCTATAAGAATTCATTTTGCTAGGATGGTAGTCAGATACAGTAAGAATAAATAGGATAACAATAAAAAAGATGGCTTGGGAAAATTATACTAATACAGAGGAGATTATATAAATCACAAGAAGTGAGTAAAAGGATA